TTCTCAACAGATTAGGAAACGAATATACCTCTCAGAGAAAGTTGCAGGAACCAATATAATAATCCTGAAGGACAAAACTATCCGGAATGTATTTTTTATTTCCTCAGAAAGCAACTCAGCTTCTGCTTTCATTAATCTTGCTTATTTAACCTGACAAAAAATTATATAATTTGTACACTGCTAGACAATGAGATGAGTGGTATATAAATTTAATACAAATTACAACAGTGACAAAAAGAGGGAAATGCTCAAGAATAAAACATGAAGAAATTGGAAGCAGCTGTATGTTTGTTTGTTTTTTAAAAAAAACCCTAAATAAGGGAAAGGAGAGGAGAGACACAGAAGCCATTAATTTTATATATATATATATATATATATATATATATATATATATATATATATATATATTTAAAGAAAACTCATTAAATAAGGGTTAGACCAGGCATGTCAAACTCATGACATCACATGACGTTGCATAACATATCGCGACTTTTTCCCCATTGCTGGCAATGGGGTGGGCACAGTTTTGGCATGACGCTTCCGGCCCGTGGGCCGGCAGTTTGACATGCCTGGGTTAGACCAATGTTTCTCAACTTTGGAAACATTAAAATATGTGGATTTCAGTTCCCTCTGCTGGCTGGAGAATTTTGAGAGTTGAAGTCCCCACATCATAAAAATTGCCAAGGCTGAATCACTGGGTTTGACTAATGTAGAAGGTGTTACTGTTTGGTCCTGAAGTTTCTGCATCCTGGTTCATCACATTGGTTGTTAAGCAGCATGCAGGGACATACTATACTATTTGTCCTGCTGAGCACCAAGATATGCATTAAGATGTTATATTAGCCATGATGTTGGTGTGGAAAATGCTACACTTACAGGCATTCCTCAAAGGCTGTCATTATTCAGTTCAGGTAGCTCAGGGGTGTCAAACTCGCAACGTCATGTGATGTGTCGCGACCTATCGCAACTTTTTTGCCATTGCCGGCAATGGGGTGGGTGCAATTTCGCTATGATGCATCTGGCCCGCGGGCCGGCAGTTTGACACCCCTGGGGTAGCTGTTACAGGCTAGGGAGGGCTGCAAATGTGACGTGAAGGAGTACCTGAGTGCTACTCTAATTCATTTACATAGCAAAAGTCTAAATGCTGTTTGAATTTTGTAGTGCCTGCAATTCAAGTCTCAAAAAAACAAAACAAAACAATTCAATTCAAACTAAAAAAAAATGTATATTTTTACTTTCAAGTGAGCAAAGACAATGTTGTAGCACTATGTAACACTCACTTCAAAACTATGGTAAAGAATAGAGTAAATGTACTTCTGAGTTAAAATGCATAACACTTAGTGCTCGATTTCCAAATGGCAGGTTTATTGTTTTCCTTTAGAATCCTGTTTGTCATATCTTCATAAAAATATGGGATGAAACCAGGGAATGTAGGCTTGAGCTTCTGGGGGAAGAATAACTAGGGATTATTTGTCAAAAACTTTATTGTGCCCTTTGGGTTCCTACCTTTCCCATATGTTTAGAACCAAAATTTAAGAACTCTTGTTGGTAAGGGGTGGCTTTTTCTAGATAGAAAGGAAGAGAACACTCAATGGTGTAAGATGCAAGATGACATCTACCCCGACTTTGGCTGAGGTTTTACATTCCCAATCTAAATTTACCCATCAGACCTAGCCTTGTTGGCATATTAGACTTGGTTTGGTACAAACCCAGTTTTTTTGTGATTTGTAAAGCATGGTTTATAGTTTAGCATTTTGTGTGAAACTCCCCAATTATGATTTAATAACATCTGATTAAGCAAACCATGCATTAATTCATTGTATCACATTGTGGACATCTCTCTTTAGCCCTAGTTTCTTCCCATTAGGGCTGTCCCAGGAAAGATTCCTTTTTATTTATTGCCCTAGCAGATTAAAGTAAAGCTTCTAAAATATTTATTTATCAAACTGAATTTTGAACTGTATTATTTCTGAGAAATACACAGAGTCACAAGACTCTTCTCAGGGGTGTTCTACTCAATAACTAGATTTATTTGATTGATTGACTGATCATGTCTTTACTATAGCTGAGGAAGTAGGCTATTTTAAAAAACCCAAGACAAATTGCATAGCTCACAGCACTCTTCCAAAGGATGGAACAGTTTGAAAGTTCATGCTTTGAATTGCTCCATGATTTGTGCAATCATTTTTATGTATTAAACTACAATTGGCTGAAGAAGATCACAAAAAGTGATCATATGACCCTGGACACTGCAATTGTCAACTATGCTGCATGCATAAAACTAGAGTCATTTGCAATATTCTTGTATAAAGCTCAACAAAGACAATCATTCAGATAAAAGCCACCTGGGCTTGGACTGCTATCAAATGGCTCGGTCTATGACCAGGATTTCATCTTCTACCCAAATGGCTGCAAACAGGACGAAAAATTGTAAAGAAAAAGTAGTAGAATCTGCCTAAATTTTGCAGCCCATGTCCTATCTATATACTATATTGGGCTGGGAGAGAATGGGAAAATTTGACCTCTAGATGGCAGCATATTTTTTAAAAAATCAAAAGACTAGTAATAGTTGTGTCAAAAGATGCATATACTTTTTTTTTTTTAAAAAAAATCAGGTGCAAGTTAATAGGGATTTCTTCAAATCTTGGTTAGAAGAGGTCATATCTGACTCAGCAAGGTAACTAATTAAAACCAGAGATGAGACATTTTCCCCCAGGACGAACCAAGGTTGCTATTTAGACAGGCCAATCCTCCTGGCAGTCTCCCAACCTCAATGATCAATGGCAGCAAAACATTGGGTATTCTTTATCTTCATGAGAGGTCTGGCATATAAAAAGCAAGAGATTGCCTTTCATCCTTTTCATAGATTTTTTTCCCTTTAATTTGGAGAAAGACACTTTCTGCACTTGCTAAGGCCATACAATTTAAGTTTTTTCCTGAATAAATTATAGATTGATGTGCTCTCCTTTCTCCATGCAATACTTGGTATCTGGATCTTAAAACCTGTATGGGGATTTTAAAAAGATATGCATTATGCTGAAACCCTTCAAGGTGATTGTTTAAAATCTGTCAGTGTTAATATTCTTCAAAAAGTCCAGCATTCGTGTTATTTTCAATCCACTTTTAATAATAATAAAAAAATGAAGCTGTTGCAGGTGACCTGAAAGCTACAGACGACGAATTCATTATAAAAAGTCCCTGGAAGTCAGAGACCAGAAAGCAGATGATATGCCTATAGGCTGATCTCACCTCTGATTGTCACTTAGCTGTGCCGCAACAGACTAATTGGTGAAACATGTCAGATTGCACCCATGGCAAAGTTTGTGTTGGAATGGGAAGGAAACAGTAGCACTGGTCCAGTGAATTTTAAAACAAGAATGACAACTTAAGACTTAGCAAACTGTTTTCAGATACAATGGTGATGAAAAAGTATTTGGGACCAGTTCTTGTATTTATGTCCCTTCCAGGTCTGTGAAGGAAAGGAAAGTTAAACATGGTTTCATTTAGTGACCACTTCACTTAAGATTGAGTTTCTAGTCCTGATTGTTGTCACTAAATGATCTAACCGAATAGGCTGGGAATCAAATAAGACAGTGTCACGAAGAGGAGCAGAAGAAAGTGTATCTTGTGTATATTTGTGCTGCAATTAGATGCAAGCAAAAAAAGCTCTAATAATCAAAAGTCAACATGTAGCTATTCCACATATTTCCCCTGAGTATTTTTTTTTTTTTGCCTCAAGGAAAACAAGATAAAATGAAAAGAAGAAAGAGATAATAAGGATAAAAATGATGTCTGAATCTTCCATAAATTTACATTATTGGAAACATGGCAATTACTCAATCATTGGCTCATCTGGAAATAATCTCAGGAAAGAAAAATGTCATTTATTTCAAGACTTGAAGAAAAACCCTGCCAGTTGGAAAAGAACCCAACAAGAGATCCTGTGGTTTATTTTTCAATTTATTTTTAATGCAGTTAAAAGTGGGAAAAGAACCAGATGTTGGTTCCAGATTCTTCTCTCTTTAGGACCACAGTCTAAGAAAAATAACCACTGAGCAAGACATCCAGAGCTGAGCTGGTCTGATCCAACTATCAATCCTGTCCTCAACTTTCTCCCTTATCTTAGGCCACTTCATAGGGACATCTCAACCAAACTGAAGAGTTACCTCAGACCCAGCAGGGAGAATCGTCTCCTGTCCCCATTTGTCATCTGAAGGCAGAAGGCAGATCCAGCTTCATCCAGCCTATATTCCAAAATACCATTAATCATCCTTGATGAGTGCAAATCTTCTCCTTCTGGTCACCAGCAGCTATGATGTAACCCATACAAAAATCTTAGCTGCCAAGAGAATCCTTGGCTATTTGAGTTGTGATCCCAGAAGAAAGATAGAAGCCACCAAAATGGCTGCTGTACCATGTATCCTGTAAAGAGTAACACATGCCTACTTTCCTCTCACCCAAAATTTGTAAGAACTTTTTTTTTTTGCCAAACATTTCTTTATTTTGGAATTGGTTTTCACATGAAGGGAACGTGCATATAGATTAAGCTGAGCTGAATGTTGTTTGATCCCTTGGAGTTTTGGGGATTGGAAGCCGCAGTGTTATGACTGGATGTAAGACAGCAGCATTAAATGGCCAGCCGGACTGCACAAACCAGTCCATCCTGCAAAGCTGCCTGGGTCTCTCCTATTATCTCTACTATTGGAAGGCAAGCGATATTGTGGCATTGGTTGTACTTTTTTCTGCATGTACAGAGACATGTCTACTTCCAACTACTTTGTCTCCAACTCCTTCATGCACAGTCTTGCATTACACACATAGACACAATTATTCAAACTACCTGTAAAGCTAAATAAACATTCACCTATAACCACAAGGGTGCAGTAAAGAATAAAGGAAAATGGATCAGTAGTCCTATGCTGTTTCTTTTAAAAAAAAAGAAAGAAAGAAAAAAGAAATACATTGCTGAGGTGTGGCCTTACTTAGCTCATACAGAGATTTGATTGGCTTGAAAGGGTGATTCTTCTAATAGGCTGAAACAATTTCTTCATATTACTTAAGAGTTGACTGCTTTGTCAAGTGTAAAGATAGTGAGACTTATTAGGGTTGATTTTGGAGTTAGTTGGTGTCCTTAAAGGTAAGTTCCCTGTGTATTTATGAACTTATAACAAAGGATCTTTGTTGGTAAGGATTCTTGCGTATTTGAAAAAGAAGATTGTTGTGCATAAGAATTAGCCTCAGTTTTCAATTTGACCTTAGTAAAAGGAAGTGAGGATTATTTAATGTTTGTTCCTTTATTCTGTTGTTTTTAACTGCCTTTTATTTGTGCTATTTACTCTGATATTGTTTATAATTTCTGTTTTTAGTTTTATTATTGTTACGATATTAGTAAATCAGTTCTAAAAGTTTAAAAATCAGCTCTGGAATATCTTCTTCTTTTGAAGTAAAACCAAGGCTACTGAAGTTGAAGATGTAGGGGCAACAGATCCTTTTTAGACTGATGCGGCCAGACCACTTTGTCACTTCCACTAATATAACAGGAGATTTAACTTGTGAGAAAAGGTTGACATGATAGTTTGAAAAAAATATCTTTAGTGCTTAGTAAACAGCGTGTTGTCTGGGTTCATATATTTGAAAAAGCAATCAATAATAAATTTCTAAAATCCCATGATCAATATATTAATTAATTCCTTGATCTTCCCTTCCTCCAATGTTATTCTCCTTTGAGGTTGACATGATAGTTGATCAGCAACTGAATATGAATCAATAATGCATTGTTGCTGTTGGTGTAAAAAGTAAAATGTTGTTTTAGATTTTATAATTATAGTTTTTAGGTCATAGAAAAATTGTTTGATTTGATTTGAGTAGTTCTGTTTTATTTCTGTGCTGGCCAGATACTGCCTTTAGTACTGCACCAGTCAAACAAACTGGAACAGGTTCAAGGAAGGGCAACGAGGAGGATCAGGAGACTAGAAATTAAGTCCTAAAAACAGAGATTGGTGGAATTGGGAAAATTTAGCCTTAAAATAAGAAGATACAGATGATGTAATAGTATTTGAAAAAAGGCAAAACCTGCTCTTATGAATTCTAGATTTAAGTTACTAGAAAAGGGATTCCAACTAAATATTGGAAGGAAAAAAAATGAATAATAAGAACAATTCAGTGAAGATCAAGAGGAGGCTAGACGAGAGTCTTCTGGGAATACTTTAATCTGGATTTCTGCAAGAAGTGAGAGCTGATCTCTTTTCAATTCTGATACTGCCAGGGCTGCCCTGGAACAATGGCATCGACTGCCTTCTGCTATGAAAGCCATTAGGTCAGTGTTTCTCAACCTTGACAATTTTAAGGCATGTGGACTTCAACTCCCAGAATTCCACAGCCAGCAATTGCTGGCTGTGGAATTCTGGGAGTTGAAGTCCACATGCCTTAAAATTGTCAAGGTTGAGAAACACTGCATTAGGTGGAGGAAAAAAGACTAGTGGATAAAGTTTGCTGGGTTTTTCTTATTATTTCCTTTTAATTTATCATATCTTTCTAGTGCTCTACAGAATGTGATACTTCCCTCTAAATGGATTATTGGTCATAAGAGTGTCTAAAAATATTTTAATCTAGACCAGAGTTCCATGTGTTGGAGCTCAGCTTCTGTAATTTTGGTCAATGTAGCTCCAGTCAGAAGTGATGTGAATTAATGGGACACTGGCCTTTTAAGCCAACACTCATTCTTGCTTTTAGATCAGGAGTGTCATGGGCCGGATGCATCATGGCGAAACCGCGGGGCAATGGCAAAAAAGTCACGATACATCGCGACATATCACGTGACATTGCGAGTTTGACACCCCTGTTTTAGCTCAAACCACAATTCTCTTACCCAAATATTGCCCAACAATCTCCATATTAATAATAAAATTCAGAATATGCTTTTACCCTCAAAAAAAAAAACCTTTTGAACATCCCACGGAGACTTGGTAAATTACCAAACCATAAGTTGAAATGTGAGTCCACCTATTGAATATTGGTTGGGTTTAGTTCTCTAAAAGTTTCTTGACTGCTGTTTGTTAAGTTCTTCATTATTTGTTTTTTTACAGCTATCAAAATGAGCTGCTTTTCATTCCTGAAGGTCATGATGATTTTGTTTAACCTGGCCATATTTGTGAGTACTTACCTCTTTTTTCTGTAAATAAGCAGTGAGGTGCTTTGCATTCTTGCAATGGAATGAGTGGTTACGAGAAACGTTTTCACCTTCTTTTACCTCTGTGTCTGTATGTTTAATAGATATGAAAAAAACATATGTCAAACTGAAACTCAAAGTCAAAGCAAATCTGAGTAAACATATTTAGAATTCTAGTGAAGGACAGATTAGACCATCAAGTTTAGTATTCTCTACAAGAGCATATCAGGCAGATATCAGCTTACATTATTAACATGTTTATGGTAAGTTGTGTCTTTATCTTACAATTAATCTCTGGTGATCACATGCTGTAGTAACCTTTGCCAACATGGTTCTACCAGTCAACTATGAAGGATTTAATAGCAACGAATGCAGCATGTGAATAATCATTGGGTACAATGTGGTAGGAGATGGTCACAACTACAATATAAGTATAATCACTGGTTAGCAATAGCAACTTTCTCGGGTGCAGGTTGGAGACAGTCCTTGGGAAAGAACACATACACATATGGAAGTATTAGTGTCCAAATTTCCTCTCCCTGAGTCACGATTCTACTATTGTTTTGTCTATTTGGCTCATAAATTCATGGTAAACAGTTCTAGAAACTACATTAGATGATCTGCTGGTCTTTTCATGCCTTAAAAACAGTAACTGTGAGAGGGACCTTGGAGTCCTAGTGGACGATCACTTAAATATGAGCCAGCAGTGTGCAGCAGCAGCCAAAAAAGCCAATACAATCCTGGGTTGTATAAACAGAGGCACAGAATCAAGATCACACGAGGTATGAGTACCGCTTTATAAAACCCTAGTAAGACCACACCTGGAATACTGCAGCCAGTTTTGGTCACCATATCACAAAAAAGATGTTGAGAGTTTGGAAAAAAATCAGAGAAGAGCAACTAAGATGGTCAAAGGCCTGGAGACTAAAACTTACAAAGAACAGGGTAGGACTTGGGTTTGGCTAGTATAAAAAAAAGAAGAAACAGGAGAGACATGATAGCAGTATTCCAGTACTTGAGAGGTTGCCACAGAGAGGAAGGGGTCAAACTATTCTCCAAAGCACCAGAGGGCAGGACAAGAACCAATGGTTGGAAACTGATCAAAGAAAGAAGCAACCTGGAATTAAGGAGAAACTTCTTGACAGGGAGGACAATTAACCAGTGGAACAGCTTGCCCCCAGAAATCGTGGGTGCTCCATCACTGGAGATTTTTAAGAAGAGGCTAGACAGTCACTTGTCTGAGATGGTATACTATAAGTTCTCCTGCTTGAACAGGGGGCTGGACTAGAAGACCTCCAAGGTCCCTTCCAGCTCTATTTTATTCTATTCTTTGTATGTTATGGTTTCTAGTGACTTGCATCATATATTCAGTGAAGTTGAGGTTTGCCTGCAAAGATTGGTTGTAGTTACGTCAGCTCACAGATTAAAATAATTCAAAATAACATGAAACAGTAATTTAATAATATGGTTGGCTTGTAGGGAATTTTTTTCTGTATCTCTGTTTTCTGTGGCTGCTATACCTGTAGAACAATTAGAATTGGTGCTGTGCAGTTTTTAGGCTGCATTACAGGTAGTCCTTTTGAGGAAATATGCTTTTCTGCAAAGAAAGGCCAAGCCTCAAATTGACAATGGATAACTTAAGTGCAACTGTGGTTCAAGACAAAGGTAGTCATTAAAATCTATTCATGTTTCTCAGACAAACTGAGTCAGTTTTATGGTTTCTGTGGGTGTGGCTTTGATGTCATACTTGTTCTGTAAATGTTATTTCAAAAAGCAGTGCAGCCGTCTTTCTCCATCCTGGCTAATGTCCTCAAGGAAGTCTTGAATGTCAACTTGAACTGATACCTTTAGCATACAGCTAGTTTCAAACCTTGAAGAAAGAGCGGTTGCTCATACAGCTGTTGCCAAACATCCCGTGGCTGTATTCGGAGTAAACTTTGTGAGGTGGCCCAGATATATACAGTGGAGACCGATGAGATCACAAAGACTGTAAGAACCATAACAAGGGTGTGCTATATTTAACAGGCCAGGAGTCACAAGAGACCTTCTTTGGAAGGACTTGTATCCCATGTATGGGCGAAGTGTGATGTGTTTAAAGTTTTTCTTGGTTTTTTACAGGGTGTTTTGAAGGGAGGCCAGTTAGAAACATTATTGAGCTATTTTTAGGATCTACATCAGAGTGACCTTGCTTCAGATGGTGAAATATTGAGCCTCAAAGGGTACCACTGGTTGGTTTTTTTAGCAGTAGTAAAAAAGATTCAGGGGGGGGAGGCGGCGGAGGGTGGAATCATATGTGGTAGTTGATGACTGGTTTCATAAATTGCATTACACCAAAACCATACCAATCACATCAAAGCATAGCTCAATAACTGGAGCACCACTTGAACACCATCGCCATTGACAAATTCAACATCAGTCAATTGCAAACGGTGTCTTTACTCAAAACAGTTTACATCTGGCAACATCTGTAACATCATCAAACATCCACATCTGCCTATCCCAGGTCCTTGGAAAGAACTTGATAGGTAGCCAAAAACGTCAAATCCAGTCTGTGCGACAAACCATAATAATTTAATAAACCTGTATGCTGTCCTACTTTAAATAACTTTTGAGTGTCTCACAACAATCTAACAATAAAGTACAATAAAACCAATAAAACACCCAAAAAAGATAAAACATGTGGTATCGGGTTTAGTGTTAAGTATGAACAGGTCATTATGATTTGGTTAATAACTATGGTTAAACAAGCTAAGGTTTTTTTGTGCTATACAACCTATGGAGTAAAGGTCAGACTATTAGACTCTGTCTTGGTTCAAACCAGATCTCTCCTTTTACATATTATGATCAGTTGGCTTGACTAAATCTGTTGAATCAAAGCGCTCCTTTGGAAATGTGATATATATGCAACTGTCATTTGCACGTCTCGCATATGCAGCTGCAACATATTTGCATTTTTTGTAGAAGCCTGCCCTTAGTCTCTTATTCTATGATGTTATTCAAAGTGTGGCACTCATTTTGTGCCCCTCCTCTCCCCAGTAACTCCCTCTCCCTGTGTCTCTTTTCCCTGTTTTTATCTGTGCAACCTGTGGGCCTACAGCCTAGTTCTAATTTTATATGTTCTGAAATTAGACCTCTGACTTTTAATGATCTGCCTTTTGGGGGGGAAGCTGGACAGAAAAGTGTCAGGAATAGAAAGAATGAAAAGAAAATACACTGAAAAGTGAGAAGAAAGATAATGTCAGAAAGAGGGAATAGCTTCACCACTTTATTTCATCCCATCTCAGATTGTCATACAGTCCCTTAATAGAGATTTTCTGGGTGGGAAATGTAACTACAGTCTTCTTTATGTACACCCTATGTTCATTACACAAAAAGCAGCCTCCAAAATATAAAATAACATTAATCTACAATGCAAGGTTGCAGTCTAATTCTCCTTTGAAAAATTAGGATCACTGGAATTATTTACCTTTTTTTTTTTAAATAAAGGTCAGTTCCTTGAAATAGGGCTTTTATAAGGATGAAGGTGTAAAGTCCCAGAGAAACAAAAATGACACTTTAAAAATATTAATTTTGAACAATAGTGGACACTTTCTGTTTTGCCCCTTGTTTTTAGGAAGATGTTAATACTGCCTGGTCAACTTTCCTAAAATCCTGGATTCTGAATTACTTTTATAAGGCAATGCTCACTTCTTTCCCAGAGAAGCTCTGTGTATACAACCCTTTCAGCAATTAGTGTATTAGCTCATGCTGTTTATTAAATAATAATAAATAATAATTCTGAGAGGTCAAATGAATCTGGCAGAAACTTTTGTTAGCAACTTGGGTTCAGATTCTCTAAATCTGTTCTACAAATCTGGGAAGTAACTTCTCATCCCAAAGACCTCATGTATTCAGCCTGGCACTAATGTTTAGATATGGGTTGTGGCTGCCTTGCCCTTTTGTTTGAAAGCAAATAAAACTGGCACCTGTGTTCAAGGACAATTGCTTTGACCTCTTTAGGAATGTTTGTGAATTATGTTACAGGCATTGTTCACTTAAAAAGGAATATTTACAGGGTTGAAATGCTTGGTAGCTTCTGATAACACCTCCTTGTTTAAAGAAAGGCTGGGAGATTTGCAACAATTCTTCCTGTGTGCTACTACAATAGAATCACAGTCCCAAAGATGATTTTTAAAGGGCAACTGGACATTCTTTGTTTTTCCTTTTTCCTTGAAGATGTTTTGCTTCTCATCCAAGAAGCTTCTTCAGTTTTGACTGAATGGTAGAGAATGGAAGGATTTATATTCCTTGCAGTCATCTTGTTGTTAGCAGTCTCTCTGAGAGTCCTTGAGGCCACTTGAAGATTTATCTGTGCTCTCAGGGTCACCTGAATAGTATAAATGGGTGTGGAAACTTTTTGGAACTGCTGACAACTGTGTTGTAAACAAGAGATAGATGGTGTTGTATTCCCCCCCCCCCAGTTGAGAGAGGATTGATCAGTTTCAATGTAGATGGCCTCTTTGACCCATCTTTCAAACCAGTGGTCCTCTCTGTCCACAATGTGGACTTTGCTGTCTTCAAAACTATGACTTTGTCATACAGCTGAATCTTGTCCTGATGGGATTGTTCTCCTCTGTGTGCCATGCATCTGTGAAGTGGTTGGTTTGTTTCTCCAATGTACATGTACATTGTCTCACAGCTTTGTACTGCATATATTATATGGCTCAGGACAACCATGACCTGGATGACGGAGAATCTCCGTAGACAATAGCATCACAGTTTGTTGAATGCGAAGGACTATAAAATTACCTGGGGGAGAAATAGATTGATCAGGGAAGATGGAGTTTCTATGTATTTTAGGGCAATGCAGAAGAGTAAGATTTGGCATTATATCAATTGCAACTTCATCTTCTGTATAATGGTTAAATCTATATAACTTCCTTAAATAGAAATGAATTTAATATAATCATACAGGACTGATGATATTTAGTGCTGTACTAAATGTGTTAACTATGTTAAAGCATATGTGTTTGAGTCCTAATTATTTTTTTTTTATAAAATCACAAGTAGGGAAGTATCTCCAGTTTGTAGGACATGGAAATAAATCAGGATTCCAGAGTAGGTCATGATCTAGCTTATTTTCAAAATTAACGAATTTTATCTTTTAACTTTTTAAACACTTTTAAAAACTAATTTACTTTTTATACTATATAGGATATAAATGTGATGCTTTAAAAAGCTGCCCAGGAAAAGATTGCAAAATGTTTTAAAGAAAAAAAAATGTAGTTCTCATAAGGATTATGTCAAAATGCAGTCTAGAACGTAGATGTGAAGCTGTGGGGCTGTGATTATAGCTAGATACAATTTTAGTTCAACTGTGTATGTGGGGACTAGACCATAAGATCAGTTGCTAAAAATATTTGATGGGTCCCAGGAGGCAAGCCTTCTCTGCTATGGTGGCCACCTTATGAAACTTTCTCCCTTCCGGAAACCAGGTTAGCTCCATCCCTATTAACATTCTGGAAGCTCCTCATAATACAGGTAGTTCTCGACTTACGACTACGACTGAGCCCCCAATTTTTCTTGCTAAGTAAAACAATTGTTAAGTGAATTTTATGACCTTTCTTGGTTAAGGGAAACACTGCAGTTCAGTTAGTATCACAGTCATTAAGAGAATCTGGCTTCCCCATTGACTTTGCTTGTCAGGGGATCACATGACTCCAGGACATTGCAACCATCATAAATATGATTTAGTTGCTGAGCATCTGAATTTTGATCCTGTGGCCATGGGGACGCTGCAACAGTCGTAAGAGTGGAAAACAGTTATAAGTGATTTTTTTTTCAGTACTGTTGTAACTTCAAATGGTCACTAAATGAACTGTTGTAAGTTGAGGACTACCTGTCCTTTAAGATCACTCCATTATCAATACAGTACTGATATATCATTATATATTATTATCATCAATGTATCATTCTATCTTATGGTTTCTATATTTTAATTTTTATTGATTTTTTTTTTAAAAAATAATGATTGCTTTATACTTTTATATCGATTGTTGTATGCCACCCAGAGTTGCTCCTGGGAAAATGAGCAGCCATATAAATTTGATAAATAAATACAATTCATAGTTTTACGGCTATGGTGATATTTAAGATGATATTTTGGCTTGCCATCATATCTTTCTCATATTGCCATTTGTGATATGAGAAATTTCTAATTAGAAACAGTTATTTCTGGTGAATAATACTTATTCTTGATGAAATCACTCTACCGGTTACATGCAATGATTAGCAGGAACTTGAAAAACTTGTGTTTGACTGTGGATTTGCTGGAGCTGGGGAACTGAAGCTTCCAAGCACTTGCCTGAAGACCATAGAGTAAGGTCATGTGAAGTCTTTTCAATATGGTGAATCACATGTGATACATGCAGAGCTGAAGGATAACAGTTCTGCATGTACGGATGTGCATGTACGCCTTTGCTATCTTCACTTGAAAATATATTTCTTTCTTTCTTTTTTTCTTTCTTTTTTTCTTTCTTTTTTTCTAGCTTGGCGGAGCAACGCTTCTGGGCATCGGGATCTGGGTTACTGTTGACAGTAAATCCTTCCTCAGTACATTTGGTGCTATATCTGCCAGTGTCCTCCAATTTGTGCATGTTGGTTACCTCCTCATTGCCATTGGAGCTGTTCTGTTCCTGCTGGGTTTCCTAGGATGCTGTGGAGCTCAGAAAGAGAGCAAGTGCCTTCTGATCATGGTAAATTCTGCAAAGGATTTTCACTGTTTATTGGTACTAAAGCATGATAAAGGCATTATTGAAAGCTATTCACTGAGGTCAGTTTTTTTTTTTAAAGAAAGAGATCCAAAGTCACTAATTCAGATATATTAGGGATAGAATTTCTACTTTTTTGATAGTAATAAGTTGTATATGTGTTTTTTTTAAAAAGTTCATTTCTTGATTTCTTATTTTTTAATATAAATAACAAGTTGATGTTTTTGAATACAGTGTTTCCTTATTTGTGATTATATTTTGGGGTCATAAAATAAGTTATTTAATTTTTTAACAAGTGCACATTCCAGCTATTGCTGGTAAATGCTGATTTCTATTTCCCTGTTAGATAACTTAACAAGGAAATAAGGCCTGGTTCAAACAACATACTAAATCATAACTGTTTTGCCAAGTGTCAGGGCAGTGATCGGTTGCCCAGGCAATTGGTTGTTTAGGACTCAGAGACAATGGACACCCGAGTAAATAAAGGGATTTTAAGCCTGATTATTAACTCAAGCAAACATAACAGCATAACACAAAAAGCATACATAACAAGCAAGATTATACCCAAGTCTCTCAGAAGCTATCAGGAGCTCTTTAATAACCACATCAGTTTTGTGCAGAACATCCCAAATAAGCAACAACTCCAAGATTTTTATCAAAACCTGACACCATGACTTCATGGCCCAGGTATGGCCAGGACACTACAAAATATGACTTTTGTTGGCGGGGGGGGGGGAAATGATTCTGGGGTGGAAATCAAGAGTCTGAGACTTTCACAGCAAGAAAAACTTTGAAGCTACATGAAGATTCCCACCTCCCTTCTCCTTTATTTAGTAAACAAGAGCAACCTCCCCCCCCAAGCAGCTTAGCTCAGAATGAGTTCTAAAGAATTTTCTTAATATGAAGGAGAAATCAAAATTATGTTACTAAACTCATTAAAATAACAATGGTCTTTCACACTTAGGCTGATACCAAGTTCTTCTGAAAAATCTAGGAAATCCAAACGAGAAGATGCGGTGAAAGTAAAAGAAAGAATATGAAGAGGGAGCTTGAGTTTCATATGAGAAACCCCATATGAAATGGGCTAGTTCCCATTAAAATCTGCTCTTAACAATCTTTCAGACTGGGAAAGCTCCTTATAAGCAGCTACCCTTTCAAAGATGGAACACACTTGGCCAAGAGCATCCAATGCTTCATTTTTGTATCAATACTTTGTAGAATAACCAAACTTATTACTGTATTGTCCCTCTCCCTAGTTCTTCAGCATTATCCTGGTCATCTTCATAATTGAAATTGCTGGTGCAGTGGTAGCTTTGGTCTACACATCACTTGTAAGTATTATGGAGTAGAAGAGATAAATTATCAGTAGTTTGTGGAGAGTAATTTCAGGATCTCAGATAAATACTGATATTCTGCTTAGTGTACCCTAAATGTTAGATTACCAATGAGGTTAAGGTACCTTACTTTTTAGCTTTTGTGTAATAATGGTCTGCCCTTGTCAAGGAGAAATGTGCACAACTTAAGAATGATTTTTTTTTCAAAGTTTCACACCTTAGTTTTTCTGATATCATACGTCTGCTTCGTGCCCAAAGATGCAATGAGACATGACTGCACTGGCTCAAGTGCTCAGGAATAAAAATGGAAAGTAGCCTACGCTGATGTCCCTATCATAAGAAAAGAGGGACATCTCACTTTCTCTTAGTAATCTTCTCTCAGCCTGATTCCTGATCCAAGCTTTGTATATAGGTATATGGCAGGGGTCTTCAAACTTGACCCTTTTATGACTCATGGACTTCAACTCCCAGAATTCCTCAGCCAGCCTGCCTGGCTGAGGAATTCTGCCTGGCTGAGGAATTCTGGGAGTTGAAGTCCATGAGTCATAAAAGGGCCAAGTATGAAGACTCCTAGTATATAGGGATGGTGAGACAGAAAGTTTATTAAATCCAGTGGGGCACAAGCAAGATTGTGTTGCATAATTTGAACAAGTGTCTCCTCGCATTGTAAAAGATATTTAATACTATGTATCCCGATAGCAATTCTTGAGAAATGTTCTACATAGCCTATCTGTGTAGAGAAGGATAACTATTCTCTGTTTGACAAAGCACTGATCTGTGAAATATCAAGCAGACACTTGATATTGTGGTTTGCTCTTTACCTTCTTTTTAAAATTTAAAAGTGTCTTGCTTTATTGCCCCTTTTTTTGCCAATCACCATGATATGGGCAGTAACAAAACCAATTGTAGTACAGACTTGAATTCTTTGCTGCAGAACTACATCTTTGTAAGTCCAAACACTCTCATCTGGGATGCCTAAGGGATTATGAGTAGTCTTGTTTCTTCAGTATCTGCTGCATTCTTCTGTAATGTTAAAAGGAGATTGAAATGATAAAAAAGTGACATATATATGAATGGAAGCTCAATAGTGAATGACAAAATGACATAGAGATGAATGGAATCGCCTTAAGAAGCTCATCACTGAATGACAATAGTGCAAAGAAAATAGATATTTCCAGATGTCTCAGAACTTCGTTTTTTATTGGTAGGAGAGGGCTAGGCAACCTGATGCCCATTAGCCCCAGTGTAACCATGGTTAATTTGCTTGACACCTGTCAGACTTCCTGAGTACTTGGCATTACTTTTAAAATATTTTTTCACTGAAACAGAATAACTGAAGCAGGTATACTGCAATGTCTCAACCTTTAACATCATTTTAAACAAACATCAACAACAACAACAAAAACCATACCACTACCTCTGGCTGGTTCCCACATAGACTCAATAAATATTTTCAGAAAATAAAATTGGTGAATGGCTGCATATTTTGTGTCTATTGATGCCCAAGATAAGCAAAGATGCTAGAATGCCTCAAAAAGGTTGGTGGGGAGCTATCTCGCTACACGAATGCCCATTATTATGGAAGACATTGTGTGACAGTACCAATGATATTTCCCCCCAATTCCAAATGTGTCTAGCAGCCCATAAAGGGCATCTATTCCTACATAAAGTACCTACAGAAGGTGAAGTAAGGGGAAGTAGAATATTAATAATTCCACAGATGCTGAGATGAAAGAATGGCCTTGCATCTTTAATGATAAGGAAAGCTTATTTATATGTTCTCATTTGTTTTGTATAATTCCTTTTTTCTTTTCAGGCGGAGACTCTACTGCAAGCAACAGTGGCAAAATTACTAAAAGATGACTACGGGAAACCTAACCCACTTACTGAAGCATGGAATATTACAATGAATGAAGTAAGTTGGTATTCCAGTCTCTATATGATGTGCAAGATTTTTTTATGAGAAAACGTAGAAGCATCCCTTAGGCTTAAGCAGAAACGATGTTGCTTTTTTACAGCTGCCAGTCAGTTTTGCCTCAAAGTTGGAAGATTGTCTTCATCTCAGTAACTTAATAGTTGTGTCATATTTTATTGAGGGTCATCTTAATACTTCTAATGTTGGCTTATAAACAGAAAGACATTAATATAAAAGAAAAGGTAGTTACAGTAGGATTCTTAGCAGGTAAGGAATTTTTATTGAAGACTGTATGGTTAAATAGAATAAATAAATAACAGAATAACAGCATTGGAAAGGATTTTGGACTTCTTCTAGTCCAGGGGTAGGCAACCTCGGCTCTTTTATGACTTGTGGAGTGGACTTCAACTCCCAGAATTCTGGGAGTTGAAGTCCACGAGTCATAAAAGAGCCGAGGTTGCCTACCCCTGTATCTAGTCCAACCCCCTGTGAGTGAATGTGAACTCTAATCTTAATATATGTTTTTCTCCTTAGCTGAAGTGCTGTGGTTTATCAAATTACACAGACTTTAATGACTCCTATTTCTACAAGGAAAAAAAAAATTATCCAGAGCAATGCTGCAACTCTTCCATTCCTGACACTTTCTGCAATGAAACTGTAGCTGGAAACTTGGAGGTGAAGGTATGGAAACATACCTATTCTGGAGAAAAATGGGCCGGGGCTTTCAGTGGAGTGACCTTTAATGATCTAGCACCCAGATTCTATACTTGGCATTTTTTACACAGTGTTTTAAAAATTTGGATCTAAAAAAAAGTTCAGGACTTCACTCTTCTACAAAGAGCTGTGATGAGCACCAGCCAAATTCAGTGGCACCTTTGAACTCTTTCCAGGCACATGGGGTTGGGAATTTTTGGAGGTTAACTAGTTCATTTTCAATTTATCTGAACTTTTGTTCGTTTTCATTCCAGGGCTGCTTCCCTCAGATGCTGTCTGAAATTCGTAAGAATGCAGCTGTAGTGGGTGGAGTTGCAGCTGGAATTGGGGCCTTAGAGGTATGTTGATTGAACTTTGTAAGAACCCACCTGGGGTTTCATTGATGGGCCTTAAAGAGATAGCCTCTTCTTTAATGAGATCTTGTCATATATATGCACCCAGTGATAGCAGGCATCCATGGGCGTCTTCAGGTGGAGTGAGAAAGGTCAAGAGGGCAGCCGTGAGCAGGACATGTAAAAAGAGACAAGGATTTGAGCATGTGCTGTATCTTCCCTGCTGATGCTCTTGTACACACAGATACAAGACAGGTTGCATGCAGTGGCTCTTTCAGTCCTCAGAGTTTACCATCTAAGAAAGATAGATACTTGGGTCTGAAAGAACTACTACTACTAGTAGTAGTAGTAATAAAGAATAGTATCTTTAAATATTCTAATTTGAATCCTGCTATGTGGGAAATAGGTAATCAGTGCTTTCTAGTCATTAAGGTCTAGATTTCACACTAATGCCGATAGGATGTATGGGAATTGTAGTTCAAAGAATATCAAGTGTCCTACTCTGCCATGTGCTATTAAAAGGTAATAATGAAGAATTATGTTCACTCTAAGATTCTAAATAAATGATTATTACTTAAGTTTCACACTGTTAAACATATCAGATAGGCCACTCGTACAATAAGTACAAACGAACTGTACTACAGGTAGTCCTCAACTTACAACAGTTCATTTAGTGACCGTACGAAGTTACAATAGCACTGAAAAAAGTGACTTATGGCCTTTTTTTACACGTATGACCATTGCAGCATCTCCACAGTCACATGATCAAAATTCAGATGCTTGAGAGCTGGTTCCTATTTAAGGTGGTTGCAGTCTCCCAGCATCATGTGATCCCCCTTTTACGATCTTCTGACAAGCACAATCAAGATTCCTTTAATGCCTGTTAAGATTCACTTAATAACTGTGTTACTAACTTAACAACTGCAGTGGTTCATTTAATAATTGTGGCAAGAAAGGTCATAAAATGGGGCAAAACTCCTTTAAAAAAATGTCTCGCTTAGCAACAGAAATTTTGAGCTCAGTTGTAGTTGTAAGTCAAGGACCACCTGTACTGAAAAGCAGCCAATCTCCCTTTTCCCTTGCAGGAGAGGCTGCCTTAGCATAGGTAGTGCTGATGGTAAAATAATCCAAGAATTTGGGAGCTGTTCTTCATTTCTATGGTAGACTTGGCCTTCAGTGACTGCATAATGCTAAATCTTGATGCTTTTTAACATTGTAAACTGGGCTGACATAGTTCAAACATAGAGTTAAGCCATAGTTGGATGCTTTGTAAATCATATTAAACCCAAAATAACCAAATCCTATATAGCCTAGAAAGTAACTACTGTAATAGCTAGGGGGGGTCCCATGTATCTATTGCAGGGTGGTGTTTTGGTGATTAATTTTTAATTTTATAATGGAGCTAGATCTTATTTAAAATATTACTACTTCTTCAAGAAGATAACGGGAACTGTTGTCTTCTGGTTGAGTTCTGTGCTAATGGAAAGAGTATAAAACTCACTTTTTATCTCATTTCCTTCTTTCTCAGATTGGAGCAATGACAGTGGCAATGTACCTTTACTGCAAAATAGATGAAAAGTGACTGGGATAGGATTACCTTCCCACAAGCCAAGCCTATGACTCAACACTTTCTTAACCTGTATCTACAACAATTAAATGTTTCATGGGCCTGAAGTCTGAATATATAATTAACCAATTGACTCTACCTAGATGGAATCTTTAGCATGTATATAAATGAAATTGTGAAAAGTAGTGTGATAGGAAAACTGTATTAACATAAAGGCTCTTTGTACTGAAAGCCAGAAATGGGAAAAGACAAAAGTATACCTGGAAACATTTCTGCCTTCTAAAAATGGCCTTTTCCAATATATGCAGTGTGACGTTTTCGGCTAGCTTTGATATTGGTCACCCTGGGTTGCAGAAAATCTCTCTCAAGAATAAATGATCCAGAATGGAACAATTTGTTTGAAAAGTTCAGGATTAATTGAAATACCCATGTATGATCAATGGGGAATCAAGATCGTTTTTGTTCTTGACATAAATTAATAGATGGGCAATTGTTGTAACCTGCTGGGGAAAAACATGGCTGTAAAAATTGATAGGAAAGAGAATGACTTTCTTTGAGGACTTGGAAGCTTTTTGCCTTTCTGTTCCCCAGCACTGGTTGTATGCAACTTGCTAAGGACTGAAAGGGTGTCTGATTGAGCTGGCTATGTGTGAAAGGAGTTTCCTTTGTACTTAATTCAATTGTAAATGATGTAGTCCTCTATTTTTTTATTCTGTGTGAATAAAATTTAATTTATAATAATATAACTACAGTCATATTATTTGCACCTGGATTGGACTATTGTAATAAAATGTAACTTTTAATTACATCTTGTGGAACTGGATATCTTGCAGCAAAGAGCCCCAATAGAAATAGGTAAGACTAGGTATAATTGTATGGGCATTTGGCTTATGCCCTTTAGATTATTTACATTCTGATACTTGTGAATATTCCAGCTGATGGATAAAAGCCAAGTGTGAATAACTAGCTCTGTAGATAAAATCATCCTTTGCTGGGAGAATAATAGTTCTTTGAGGATGCCACAAACTGGAACTGATTTTATTTTTTGGCAAGGTTTCTTAACTTCAAGATTGAGTATTAGTAAAATGAGAATTTCAGTATAAATAATCTGATTAATAAAAAATCCCACATTATATTCTAATTAAAGTTAAAAAGTAAAAATGAGAGATGAAATTAAAAATATGAATGATAAGATAGGTAATATACAACAAACAATGATGGAAAATGAACAAAGAATTCAAAAAGTTGAAACAAAAATGGAGCTTGTTGATTGTAAAATAGAAGGGATGATACAGAAATCTGATCAGGCAAATAGGGAATTGACTGAATCTATTGCTTTTCTGGAAGTAAAAAGAGACATGGATGAAACATATAGAGTATACACAAATTATGCACGAAGGCATAGATTGGCGAGAGAGGTTCATATAAGGTTTACTAGAAGATCAATAAGGGATGAAATATATAAAAAAAACGAGAGATGAATCAATAATGTATAAGGGTAAAGAAATAATTGTATTAAAACAAATACCACGTAGTATACGAAATCAGAGACGAGAATACCAATTTTTAACGACTCAATTAATTAAATATAAAGTCAAGTCTCGTTGGTTAATACCTGAAGGAATATTTTTAACTTGGCAGGAGAAAAAATACAAGATAGATACACTTGAGAAAGCACAGGACTTTTATGAGAGTTACTTTTCACAAGGAGAAGAACAAGAAAGTAGGGAAGAGCCAGAGAATAAAAGTTATGATGAAGATCTATTAGAGGAAGTAGATTGAGAGCGAGAAATACAAAAGTTACAAGAAAGAGAAAGGTTAGAAAGAGAAGTAAAAGGAAGACTTATAGAGACAAGAAGTACAAAACAAAATAAAAACAAAAAAATAGGTCAAGTTAAAAATGGGAGACATAATTAAGCTCTTTTCTATAATATCAAGAAAAAGAGTTTAGACGTTTTACAATTTAAGAAAATTGGATGTAGATGTGATGTATCTTTAGGAGGTTTACATAAAATAGGATTATAGAAAATTACTAGAGAAAGTAAAATTTAGAAACATTATACACAATATAAGCATAAAACAAGAAAGGAGGAATTATTATATATGTCAAAGAAAAATAAAATTAAATAAATATACTTGGATGAAAAGGGGTGAATTTTAATGTTGGAAATAGTATTGGAGTAGAAACAGTATATGCACTAAATAATATGAGAATATTAGTATGATCACCATGCTTAGATGGAATTCCGGTCGAGTCTTATAAAAAATATGAGTCTTACTACAATGAATAATGTTGGATTCCTAGTAAGCAGTAGAATATGAAAGAAGGAAAATGTAAATAAGAAACAATGGGGCAATAAGGACAAATATTTCAAAAAAGAAAGAGGGGGAAAATGTAAAGAATAGAAGAGTACTGTTACAAACTGCTGTTAACAAAAAAGGATATATTACGTGTGTATGTGTGTAATGTTTGATGTGTTTTGTTTTGTTGGTTTAAAATAATAAAAATTGGAAAAAAAAATAACGTTAAAAAGTAATTAGTAGGTATTATGAGCGCTTTCATTATACAGTTTTTAACATAGAACTCTTCCTTGCCTATATTGTATTAACATTCAAGAAGCATCAGCAAGTAGTTGTCAACATATTTCCTTTATGAGGATAATAGCATATCTGAACAATGGAATCATTGCCGGACCCCAAAATGATAATTGTAGCATGGCTGCTGGAATTACTTACTATAGTCTCATTCATATGCAACTAATCAAATTCTGCAGATGGCAGAGTGCCATCACTTCAGACAGTAGCCAAAAAGCCACACAACAAAATGTTCTTCTCTACAATAAACTAAAATGCCTAAGAAAAAATAATTTCTTTATGTATTCTAATTATTCATGGCACCTTTCAAGAGTTTACATGCACGATGAAACAATATTAAATAAATATACAGTAAATCATATTGGGAATCACAAAGCCCAAACATTTAGCATCCTTCCTATAAGGCAGGTCATGGCAATGGTGCTATGTTGGTGTAGATCAGGGGTTCTCAACCTTGGCAACTTTAAGACTTGTGGACTTCAACTCCCAGAATTCCTCAGCCAGCAAAGCTGGCTGAGGAATTCTGGGAATTGAAGTCCACAAGTCTTAAAGTTGCCAAGGTTGAGAACCCCTGGTGTAGATGATTAAAAGCTTGGAGACTAAAACATATGAAGAATGGTTGCAGGATTTGGGTTTGGCCAGTCTAGAGAAAAGAAAGACTAAGGTGACATGATAACAGCATTCCAGTATTTGAGGGGCTGCCACAAAGAAGAGGGGGGGGCACGTTATTCACTAAAGCACCAGAGGGCAGAACAAGAAACAATGGTTGGAAACTGACCAAAGGGGGAAGCAATCTGGAATTAAGGAGAAACTTCCTAACATTGAGGACAATTAACCAGTGGAACAGCTTGCCTTCAGAAATCGTGGGTGCTTCATCACTGGAGGTTTTTAAGAAGAGGCTGGACAGTCTCTTCTCTGAAATGGTTTAGGGTCTCCTGCTTGAGCAGAGGGTTGGATTAGAAGATCTCCAAGATCCCTTCCAGCTCTATTCTGATTGAAGAGTCCAACTGAGCAGGCTTCTCTCAGCTACTTTCTTCCATTTCATAGAACTTTCCACTGGAAAAATAAAATCACAGGGAAAGTGATTTTGTCATGCAAAGGGTGTTGTTTAGATGCAGGTTTAATCTGTATACAACAGGTGCATCACTAGTTTCATAAAAGGAATGTAACATTAAGCTGCTAGGCCATACTCTATAGTCAATAGCAAGATGTACGAATGCCATTCTCTCTGTTAGACTGCCTTTCTCATAAACAGGAAGAAGTGAGAATGTGTGAGGTGTTGCACTTAATTGTGTGTGTGTGTGTACATATACATATAGACACATACAAATTTGACTGATCACAGAAAGAAAGGTGCTATGTAAAGTGAATAAATGCACAACAAGAGTCTGACAAAATAACACAATGACAGTATTCTGAAGAATTGGTTTTCTCCAAAAGCAGAAATATCCCTTTTTTAAAAACTCCCTGTAAAATAATATGTTGAGATGCTTATTCTACCTGCACCTTAAGAAACACAGAAGAATTGTTACCCTAATCAAAACTATTTTCACAACAAACAGTACCAGGAAAAAAAAGTATAAGGCTGGACTTAAGGACAAAGGTCACTGTGGTTTTGCAACAGTCCACTTCTGGAATTACTTTGAATACAGGAGGGGAATTTAATCTGTTTTCTCTGGTGCAAATATCAGATGTTTCCATAAACAGTATGTGTTGCGTCCTTGGCGGGAAAACAGACACGAGAAGCAGCTGGAGTTCTCAGTTTCTTTTATTCAGCGTTCAGCTTACAGGAAGATGGCTTCAGCCTCGCCCAAACGCCTCGCAGCCTCTTATTTAGGCAACTCCCGGGTAAATGGGTTACTTTTCCCGCGCCAGCACCCGCGCATGCGCACGGCGCTGGCGACAGCCTGTCTGTTCCCGGGCAGCTTTGCACCTGCCCGGGACTGCCTGCAAACGCCCGAGCCGTTTGCAAAGGCTCGGGACATAACACCCCTTTCCCCCGGGCTAAAACTACTACCAACATACAACATTTATTTTATATGACATTTTGCTCCCAGTGCTCCCACTGTTTACTGGCCTTTGCCTTGCCAGCAATGTTATGTAGTCTTCTAGGTACTTAGGAGATTTCTTTGCTCTCTGTGACCTTCTTAGCTGTGGGTTACTGGCATAAGTCCCCTGACTGGAGGGAGGCGTGAGCCTATTCTCTCTATTGTGCCCTGGTGTCTTCCAATGACTGTGCCCCGATGCCTGGCCTGCTTGCTTGCCCACCGGGCTCGTCAGGCCAGGGCTTCTGTTGCTTTGTGACCTGGTTGACCTGCCTAGCTGTAGACCCTCGGGCCCCTTGAAGTGAGAGCCACTGCTGGGCGTCTCTGTAGAACCTCCTAGGTCAGTCCAAGACCTGTCAGGAGGCTGTCCATTCCCTGAACCCCATTCTGTGCTCGGGCTCGTGTGGGTTTCTGTACTTTTCCAAAACTCAGGTGTTCCCTGATTTGTGCTAGGGTTGTTGTAGTCGGGACTTGGTTCCTCGACTAGCTCTGTGTATGTTTGACCCCCTGTAGGATTTTGGGTAAGGTCAGGCCAACTTTGGGGATTGTGTGCCAGCTCTCTTGCGGGGAATGATTTGTTGGGATGCCCCCGGGTATCCTCCGTGACTGGAGTGCTGTGTGACGTGTGTGGAACGTGAGTATGCCCCCGGGGTGACTCCCTGGCTGGAGTAGGCGTGAGTGCCTGTTGTGTGGGTAAGCTCCATGACTTCCTTTTCGGAGCAATTGCGGAATCTGGGGCCGGGCCGTTTGTGGCTCCCTCAGTGGAGATGGGCAGTAACTCTTGCCCTTCCCTTTGCTCCAAAGGGTCCCCCTCCCCCCCTGGAAAAGACCCAGGAGTTTCAGCAGAAAAGTCCCGCCTAGAGCGGAGTTGGTCGATGTGCCGACGCAGGACACGACCGTTGTCCAAGGCAACCTCGTAGGAGAGAGGACCTGTGATCCTGGACACAGAAGCGGGGACCCATGTATGACCAGGCCCGTAATTGCGAGCCCAAACTGGGGCACCCACAAGTAGTTGTCTAGGTGCCCTAGGATGTGAGGTAGATGAAGGCAGTCTGTCCGGATGCAACCGGTCAAGTCTAGTAGTAAGTTGGCGCCCCCCACGAAGT